ACAGGCACACGGGGTGAGCTCCCATCAAACAGGCACACGGGGTGAGCCCCAGTGCCCCAGAGAGCCTCGTCCTGCTCTGCTCCCCACCCTGGAACTCTGCAGGTGGCACACGAGGAGCTCACGAGTTCAAATTAAGCTCACGACAAACCTTCCCCAGAGGCTTTTTGCAGTCTGCTTACTCAGCTTGTTTTGTTCTCATCTCCTCCCCTAAATCCCAGGGTTTGCATAACCTGGGCAGGTGTCACAGCTCACCTGGGCAGGTGTCACAGCTCACCTGGGCTCCAGGCAGAGCTTCCAGAGCAGCACATCAGCTCCCACAGCCCACCCTCCCCTGGCTGAGTCAGCACTCAAGTTATTCTGACTAAGCCACATAATTTTCTTTTTTTCTTCCAAATAAGACTTATTTTGTCCGACCAGAGGAATAAAAGGTTGAATCTGGGGCACCCACAGTCCATAGATTAGCTTGCCACATGTAAGGAAGAGGAGGGAGGGAGGGAGACACTCAGAAAACCCACACACTCAGTGGCTTGGCTGAAGTTGTCAACCGGCAAAAATTTAAAAATCCATCTGTAACGAGGGAAACTCCAGACAAACAAAATCAAGTTTTCATGAACAAGTCCTGAATTGGCCTCAACTTTGAGGTTTTGTTGCTGTCAAGGCCTTTCCAAAACAATCCAGAGGTTCTTTCCCCCTCAAAATGCCCCATATAGACAAACTCCCTTCTGAGGCTTTGGCCAAGCAGAACTGTATCACTCCACATCACAAGTGTCGGAAAACTTCCATGGTAGGAAAGAAAAACTCAGTTTAATAAATAGTACAGCTGTGAACATTTTACACTCAAAATGAGTGTGGTTCTGCACACAAAGACACTGATTTGGTTTGGAAACGATTTGCCACAAAAGAAAAATCCATGTGTAACAACCATTCCAGCCTGAGTGCTGCAGACAGAGGCAGGCCTGTGCTCAGCAGAGCATCTGGCAAGAGTAAGCCACGTCAGAAATGGCATCTTGCAGCTCTCCTCCTTTCAGATGGAAGGAAACTCCTTAAAAAGATGTATTTTACTTATCAGCCCCAAACTTGGCCGATGCAGCTGGAGGAAGTGCCCGTGAGTCGCTCGGGTTTGCAGTTCCCCCATGGTGGGCTCTGCACAGGGAGCTGGGCAGGGATCCCCCGGCACTGCCAGGCCCACTGATCACACTATTCCTTGGGAGAGTTAGGTCTGAGCTTACAAAGAGCTTACTGAATGATCCCTTCAGCCAAACTACACATCAAGGTCTTCCTTTCACCACCAAACAAACCCAGTACAGGGTACTCAAGATTCCTGCACGACCCAAAGCAGCAAGGAGGACATGGCAGAACAGAAACCTGCACTGTTCATGTTTAAAGGCATTTTAACATCTAGATGCCCTTGCTGCAATGCACTCAGCTTCAGTCAAAAGCCAGACAGCCCAAAAATACTTCTTTGCATTGACTGCCACCACCCAAACCAGCCACAGACTTCTGAAGTCACCTGGCCAAAACATTATTTTTGCTAAACACTCTTCCTGAGGGAGGCATCTGAGCCCAGCACACGCATCATGTTCCAAGCACCACATCCCAGCCACAAAGATCAAAGCTTTGGGATGGCTGGAAGAGCCTGTCTGGCTACAGACAGCCAAGCAAAAAGGTCAGAGGTAAGAGGAATGCTTTTTGGCTTCACATTATCCATGTCACACTTCTTCCAGAACAATCCTCAGTCAGGCTGAAATGGAACAAAGCTTGCAATGCAACATAAAGAGAAGAAAAATTTCATTCCACAGCCTGGGAGCTTTAGAAGAGCCACTTCTTGTGTGGACCAGCCTACAGACAACAGCAATATGTACTTTAGGGTTCTCCTTCACAATGGAAAGGATCCAGGCCTACCCTGGGCAGGAGCAAAGGTACCAATCCCATGAGCAGAGTCCACACAGCCTCACATGTCAGTCCACTTCTCCACCCCCAGTTCTGGCTTTGCTTCCTGGCAGCCAAGAAAGGGCCAGGCCTAGAAACAGCTTTTTTTTTTAAAGGAAGATGCTGTGCAAGTTCCCTGCAGGCCCTGAAGGAGCAGCCCACCCATGGCCAACACGCCGAGCCCACACTCACCCCGACAGAAGTCCATGAGGATCAGCACCTCCCACACGTCCCCGCTGCTCACGGAGTTGATGCTGGAGTCGATGTACCCGACGATGTTCTTGTGGCCAGACAGGTCCCGCTGCAAGGCACAGAAATTCCAGCCATGAGCCAGCCATGAGCCAGCCATGCAGGGGAGCAACCTCATCCTCTGGTTCCTCCACGCTGCACAGGCTCCTGTCACTCTGGGTTAATCACAACGCAGAGCCTGAACAAACCTGAGCTCTGTCTCTACCTGTTTTCCTTCCAGAAGGATTTGAGACAAACAGCAGAGACACAGCCAGCCTGGTGCATTAACCTGTTCAGGACTGGTCCAGATTTTGGCACATTCCCAGGCCAAGCCCCCAGAGCTCCTCCTCTGCACAGGGCAGATGGTGGTGGTGGCCACGCAGGACATGTTGTACTTACTTGTCTCCTTCCACTCTTCTGCTGACAAAAAGTATCCTGAATCTTCACCATAAAAAAACCACTAAACCAACAAAATAAATCTTAACCTTGCTTCTCAAAGTGCCTTATTTTAGGTAACCTGATGGGTTAAAGCACAAGTTCTCGTATAAATTACTTTTCATAGAATCACAGCCTGGTTTAGGTTGGAAGGGACCTTAAACATCATCCCTGCCATGGGGACAACATGCTAAACCTGCAGGGAGGAGTCATTTCTTTGGGATTCCAGCTTCACACACAGCCCAGTCTGATGCTCAGCTTCACCAGTAAAGGAAATCAAGGTTCTGCTGGGCACATCCTGCTCTGACACTGTAGGGCTGCAAAAACCGATTCCTTATTGCAGAAAAGCTGGGAAAGAAGGAATTGTTTCCCTTTAGGACAAAGATGAGTGCCTAGGATCCAGTCCAGGAGCAAGAGGACCTGCTGGGTAAGAAGGGTCCTCCTCACCCTCACCTTCCAGGCGAGCCACACATTCCAAAGGCACCAAAGACACGGAGACAACGGAAACACCAGCAAGTAAAACCCCAGTAACCAAGCTCTGTGAGCACACCTCAAACCTTTGATGTGAGACCTGATCTTAACTTCTCCCACAGAGCCATGGGATGACAAACCACGCCCAAAGCTTCATTGTGCTATCATGAACACCAGCAAATTCACTTTAAGGGTATTAACCTCATCAAAGCTACTTCAGAAATCACACCCAGAATTGCCACAGGTAAGAGTTTCTGATATGATCATCTATCCCAAACCTGTACCTTACGTGGTAAATTCACAGAATGAGGATTTTATATATTTTATGTTTTTTTTCCCCACTTGTAGCTGCTCTAAATGTTCATCAATATCTTTGGATACAACTTCAGAAGTGGCACTTCCCATGTCTACCAGGCTGCAAACAAGATTAAGCAAATCTATTTGGATCATCTCCATTTTGTCTTTGTTCAGAGATGCTAAGTTTAAAACAGCTATCCTATCATATAAATCCTGTATATATATAATCTAGAGAAATATCCCAGAGCTCATTACAGATACTTTCCCATTTCAAAAGCCCTGACAGTAACCCACCATTACCTAACAGTAATCTCCCAACCCCATCGATGCCAAGATAACCTTCATCCTGCCCCAAAGGAGGAGAAGCTGCTGGAATACAGATTTATCTCAGGATGGGGGTCTGCCATTCCTGCACTGATTTCAGTTCAGACACATTTACATCAGAACCATCAGCCTTTTCTGATGAGGTCTAACAGGCTGAAGACTTTGGCTCTCAACTGAAGACTGTCAGACAGAATTCCAGCACCCCCAGCCATGTTTGCCTCTTCAGCTCTTCCTCTTCCCATCAGGCCACAGGGTTGACACGGGAGCTTTTTTTCTCCCCCCATTTTTCTGAAACTCCCTGGGTTTTTTAGCTACCAGGTTTTGCTTGTCCACTGGAACCACTTACATTTGAAATAATTCAATACTAAATTTTCACAGTCACATAACTCCAGGAGTCAGGTTTTGCTAAGAAAATGCAGGCTCTCCCACCACTCCACTGCAGTGTGGTGTCCCAGCACAGCCCAGTGACTCACCATGATCTGGATCTCCCTCTTGCAGACCTGCAGGTCGTACTCGTTATTGACGTACATCCTCTTCAGGGCACACTTCACCCCATTGCTCGTCCTCACCAGAAACACTATTGCAAAGCCACCTGTGGGAGACACAAAATCATCCTGTTCATTAACAAAGAAACCTCTTGGTCTTTGCTTCCAACCCCATCCCTGCCTTGGAACAGTCAGGAGAGGGAGGGCACTGAGCAGCTGCCGCCACTCCAGGGTGGGAGTGCTCCCACATGTGCTTGGCTCCAGAGCCTCCAGCTCTGCCCAGACAGTTATTTCTGGGAACTAAAAGGGATCCAAGGGGTAAATCTTCAATCAATGGCAGCAAAGTTAACATTTAACACCTCCATAAAAACACACAATTACACCGGTTCCTTGTCCTGCCACACACTGCTCCATCAATTCCATTATGAGAAGAAAGCTGAAGGACAGCAACGCTGCCTTGGACAGAAATCAGAGCTACAGATCACCCACTGAACCACCACAGCCCTAAACTTAAAAGGCTCCCCAACTTTGAAGCATTTGAGTACATTACAAAGCTGATTTGTGCAAGAAGCAGAAGAAACATCTCCCACACGAGGTTTGATGCTTGTGCTCTTAAAACAGGACAGAAGAACAAGGGATGAAAAGTCACAATTCATTCTGTGGTCATTGCTATAAGTAAAGCCAGGACTCCCAGGATAAATTGACTTGTTTAGGATGAAAGCCTTTCATCTCTGTCAGCACTGCACCCAAACACAGGGTTTGTATTTGTGGTTCTGGCAGACACAGGAAGGTGACTGAGGATGGGGAATAAAGGCATCAAAGTTTCACGCGTGGCTCCGGAGATTGGAATGAATCAGGACAAAGAGGCCCAGGGATCCAAGGAGCCAGAAGTGCTGCAAGGTGGTAAAAAGGGAGGCACGATGACACTGCTGGTGCCACCCCCCAACAGCACCTCATTTGCTCTCTGGTACCTCACACTGCCCCACACACTCCAGTTAAGCTGCAGCACTTCTAAAGCATCAGCTCACCAGTGAGTTCTGTTTCAGGGCTGCCATGGCCTTCAGAAGTCCCACAGCAACGAGGGCAGCAGCTGCACACCACAAAAGGCAACTCACACCCCAAAGAATTCCCTTGTCAAAGTCTGAGCCCTTCGGAGAATCTCATTCTTCACCAACTGCCAGAAACCACCAGACCAACCCCACACACAGTTCCACCAGACATGTTTGTACCTGGTGGTTACTCAGCACCTACAGGAGTTGCCTCCATCATGTGACATGTCACACGTGACAAACAGAAAGCTAAATCTGAGTAAAACTCAGCGTTAAAACAGGCTGCACGTGACAACTCCACTCTTGCACCAACCAGTGCTTACAAGCTGTTAACCAACCAACCACCACAGCCAAAAGGCCACTGAAGCTTTCACTAAAACTGGGCTTTATCTTCACTAAGAAAAGACTGAAGAAGAGCACATGGCCAGATCACACTGCTGTGATCAATGCATAACCCTCTCTGTTATCAAATGGCTCTTCTGACATTACAGCCCATCTGCCAGAACAACACAGGAGGTAACATGCAAACAACACACCTGCCAGCTCCAGAGCTGCTGAACACAAACCTCTCTTGGCATGCAAACCCCTCAGTGTTATACACCAATTTGCCACAGAACTAGAGCAGCATTTCCTAGGAAGCCCCGTTGACTTTTAGGAGCAGCCCAAGAAGATGTTGCAAAAATATGGAACAGAAAGAGGAGAGGAAAAAGAAAGGGGGGGGGAAGGAAAAAAAGCATAAAGCATGCAGACTTCAACTAAAAGTCTTAAAAACTACACCCCGGCTGCAAAATGGACATTCCCATGGAGGAAACTGGGACATGGCCCTGGGATTCAACATCACAGCTGCTTCCAAGCCCTCGGAGCCCTGCAGGGCCTCCCTCCACACTGCTCACATTCAGACCCCAGAATAACCCCGACTCCCTCCCTGAAGCTGCTGCAAGTTGAGGATCTCAAATTACAAGTGGTTTCTAAGAGCTCCTGAACCCGCAGCAGTAGCTTTATTGTTCTCCCCAGCCACATTTGTCTCGTTTTTGGAGAACAAATCTGCACATCCCACTGGGGATCTTTAGCCCAAAGGGTGGCTGCTGAAAAAAGCAACACAGCACTACTGATTCTAATTCCCCCTCTTATAACCCACAGTGGAGCCAGTAAGAGACAAGGGACCCATAACCAACACAGCTTCCCCAATCCCTACTGTCTTAACATTTTACATTTTCCAAAATCACTGGAGAGATCAGGTTTGGATTCTTTTTTTCAGTTTCTGTACAATACTTCCATCAACCTCAGATACAATCTAGAGAAAACATTAAGAAAAAAAAGTTGGTTTTTTTTCCAATTTATTACAGCTCAGTCATCATCAAAACTTTTTTGTAATCACAAGACTTTTTTGGGAGGTCTTTTTCCCCAAAAATGAGAAATCAGCAGTGACCCATAAGAAGCCCCCCCTCCTCTCCAGGGGTTCAGTTCCCTTCTCCCAGCTCCTGGCCAGGCCAGCAGGGTCCAGGACCTCTGTTTACAGTGCTGTGCTCAGCAAAAGGAAACACGAGCTGAGCAGCAAAAATAGAGCAATTAAACTTTAGGAAAAAAAAAAAGCAGCTCCACTAACCTCAAGAACCTCCTCCTAAATCTTTGCTTCAGCTGGGTGGGACTGGTACCTCTTCAGACCAACTGCTAATGCCTCATTAGCACAGGTCCTTTTCCTCTATCTGGATCCTAGGCTAATTAACAAAGTCACCTCCAGAGCACCCTCGTTAGAATATGCACATCATAGTATTTGCTTACAAGCCAACTGGCACAGAAAACTATATTCTGTGCAAGGGAGAGCACAGCTAAAGCATCCTGAGAGCTCAGAGGAGAGAGACACTCAGAATATAAAATATGTATATATTAAGAATATAAAAAATAAATAAAGTAATAAAAATTAAACTAATGCTTTCTGACACAGGAGTGAAACATCAACGCAGACACGTGGCCTGGAGCATCTTCCAAATGCAGCAGTGACACAAATACATCAGGAGAAGCCACATTCAAGAGGATCCTGCAACATCTGCACTTCTACAAGTCACAGGAAAATTACACCCTCGTGTCCTCCTCCCCCTCACCTTTGACTCCTGCAGCTTCAGCTGAGGACACCTCACACCAACTGTGCACAACCACTGAACCTACTTGGTTACGTTATTATTCAACTCCCTCTGGCTGCACATTAAAGCAGGACAATTTTGCCCCTGGGAAAAGCAGCAGAGCTCCCTCCTGAGAAACAAGGGCTGATTCCATCAGGGACACAGAGCTTTCCACACAGCAACCCAGAGGAAGGGACTGTGCCGGCAGAGAAGCAAAATCTGATGATCCACATCCATTGGGGAGTTTTACTTTCAAACAACTAAAACATCCCCTGGCCCACCTGCCTCAGTTAAAGCAGACCACAACATTCCTTCCCGGGTTTTGATGGTACCCAGGATTTAGTCCAGAAAGGCACAACAGAATCAAGGATGTCTAACTCCCCTCAGGTGGTCACTCCACATTTAAACCAGAAGGTGTGAAAAATACCACCCAAATTTGAATTTCTCTGCAGTTATTACACCTTCCACTGCTAATTGGCTTCAGCACTCCCAGTCTGACATGCAAAGAACGGGGCTGCAAAGAGTAAAACTGCAGGAGGATGAGGGAAGGGAAGAGGGTAGAGACACTCCTCACACACAAATGGCTCCAGAAATCCAAGATCCAAATCCATTGGCGGGACACAGGTCAATGTGAAGGTCACTGAGAACCTTCCCCCCAGCCTGCCCTCCAAAGGAGCACGGGCAAGGCACAGCACTCAGCTGTCACACATCACACACCGTCACAGGAACGGGGCTGGCACATCCATGGCCAGAGCACAGCGGAGCCACAGCAGGAATCCTGATCCTTCCAGGAGTGCTGGGGCCTCCCAGGCCAAGGGCAGAGCTGAAGGTACATCTGCCCACGGGCTGCTCGAGCCACAACCACTGTGCACCTGAGGGTCTGAAATGGCAGGGATGTCCTTGGCACTCCCTGCCCACACCTGGAGAGATTTCCTGTCGAGTTTTCTGTGCACAGGAGATGATTTGGGAGCTTTGGTCTATCCTTCACCTCCCAAATCCCCCAAATGTTTATTACTGACTGTGCAAAGCAAATGGCACTGGCCCCAAACTGTTGCGCTGCAGACAGAAGTTTAACACATTAAGGTTGGAGTGAAGGTGCACATGCAGGTTATTCAAAGCATTCGAAGCATTTGAAACCTTTTTATGGCAAACTGCAGCCAATATTCCAGACTCAGGCCCAAAGAGCAGCTCAGAAGGAGCTGTGCCCCTGCAGGGACCTCAGGAGCAGCACTGCTGTGGCCAAGCAGCTGGCATCAAACACAGCTCAGGTTTCCCAGCAAGGTGTGACAGGAGAGGGGCAGCAGGACCCACCAGATGCCTGAAACGTTCCCTCAGCAGCATCAGCCAGCCCAGCTCAGCCCAGGGAGGGACAGAGCTGTCAAGCACCTGGACTGTAGCCAGCACTGCCTAACCAAGACTTTCTAATGGATTTAAGAGTTCTGCTTCCCCCAGCAGCAGCATCACCCAGCAGAGGAGGGGCTGTTCCCCGAAGCTGGTGGATGTATCCCAGGGGTTGCAGGGTAAGGGTGGGAGCACCTGCCTGGTCACTGCCCAGCCCACAGCCAGGCTTTGCTCAGACAAGCACCCAGCACCCTCTGAACTCTGAATGTCTCTCACAGCACAAGGCTGAAATGAATACCCTCACCTTGGCTTTTAACTTCCTGACAGCTGGGTCACCCTTCCTCCTTGCCCATTACAGATCTACAAACCACCACCTCCTCAGCCTCAGGGACCTTCAGCTTCCAGAGCCTCAAACCACAACCAATTTCTCCCTCCTTACTCCAGTCCAACCCCCAACTTTGCTAAATCTGGGCAAAGCTGAAAGGCAGTAGATCAAAGACAAATGGACAAGCAATGATGCTGAAGCCCTGCCAGATGCACATTACAGGACCATTTCCTGGTATTCCCAGAGAAGGCAGGAGCAGGCCAGGAACAGCC